ATTAAAATATTTTTATTACCTTAACGATACTTAAGCGTATGACTCTTACACGGGGATCAACATTACACGCACGTCATTCCAGATTTAATTTTTTAATAATTCCTCCGACGAAGTCTTTAAAATACGATTTAATCGTTTCACCTTTTGACATAAAGCATATAAATATATGCAGAACGTCTAATTACAAGAATTAAGCAGCAGTAGTGAATTGTGGAAATTGCCTACTGACGAATTCTATCTTGGACCATTCAAATGCCAATAAGCATCATTGAAAAAAACCAATAAGACGAGGTTGGAAAATCGGGATTTTTCACGTCTCAAGATCCATTAACGAAAACAATTAACATTAACACACATTGTCGGAGCCACGTGTTCGTCAATCAGCCGAACCGTGTGCTCCTAAGGGCAGTAAAATCAAGCGCAAGGAAGGTCATCGAGATGAGCTTGTAACTTGCTCGCGAAGGAAGTCTTGTGGCAAAAGCGTCCACAGCCAAGCTCGAGCACAATGTGCGCGCGTTTGTGGCGGGATTTCGCGACGATGACTACGCCGACGCTCGCCTGCCTGCCTGCCTGCCTGACCTTCTCCCACCCCCGTCCCCCTCCCCGACCCCTCTATAACAATCGCTCGCTCGCTCTCACTCTGTCACACACACACACACACACTCTCTCTCTCTCTCTTATATCGGTGGCAGTACGTATCTCCCCCACCCACCTGAAAGCTCTAAAAAGCCGCTCGTCTCACTCTCGCTAGCGCCGAAAATCTCTCGTTCTCTTCCTGACTCTCGCCCTGCCAAGTTCACTGGCAACCGACCTCCTCCCCCTTCCCTTGAACGCCCGTTTACACGCGTGTGTGCCTGCTACTTCTCTCTCTCTCTCTCTCTCTCTCTGCGTATATATATATATATATATATATATATATATATGAGTGTGTGTGTGTGTGAGCGCGCGCGCGTGTTTGTGTGTGTCATCACCCCCCACAGCAGAGCTGCGTCTCGCTTTCGGTTCCACTCCGCGGGTCGTGTTTCCCACCCTCGATCTCTCTCTCTCCCTCTCTCCGCGCGTATACCAAGCCGCTCTTGCTCACTCTCTTCGGGCTGTCATCTCTCCTCTCTCTCCCCCTTCTTTCTGCGGAAGCAGGGGGCAGGCAGAGAGAGAGAGAGAGAGAGAGAGAGAGAGAGAGAGGCAGGCAAAGGCAGCCTAGCCGGCAGCGAGGCGAGCCGAGAGCCGCCAGTCGACACGGCGATCCGTGGCCCGGAGTCGCGCTGTGCGCCAAACGTCCTCCCCCTCCCCGTTATGCCTTCTTGCCGGTGGCCTCCGATTTTTGCCCCCTGACCCGGTGCACGCCGTCGGAGTGAGAACAGCTGGCAAACTGGCGAGGGAAGGAGGTAGAGAGAAGGGGAGCGGGGAGACAGAGAGGGATCGAAGCGGCCGATGGACCGGCCAGATCGACTCCTCGCAGTCGAGTCGTGGACACCTTGTCGAGCGGCTCCGAGGCTTAAAGCCCGGCCCCTGCGACTGGTGTCTGTCGACTCGCACTGTCTCCCACTCCCGCCCTCTACGCCGCCTCACAACCAATTCCACCCCACCTCGAGACACTCGCCCCGACCGTATACTCAAAATTCATTTCACGAGGGCATTAAAGTAGAACTTAAGGGCTCCTTGACGGTTGAATGTCAATCATATGTAAACGCAGCTTTCATAAACTCGCAGCGACTAACAACATAACTCTTTGCGTTTAATCCCAAATTTAATTTTTAAATTACGAAGAAGGGTGTAGATTTGAATTTGACCGTAATTCAAAAGTACGTAATGCTTACGTAACAGTGCCGTTGTATCTTTGGCAGTATAACAATGTTTGTCTAAAACAATTATACACACACGCACGCACACACGCACGCACGCACGCACACACACACACAAAAAGCGCATATTTATTATATGTATACATTTTCGAATGTATGCAGGTACATTTAAGATATAGTTTTTATTCAACCGTACTTAAAACCCTCGAGCTCCAAATCTACATCGACGAATTCACAATGTATTCACGAGAATAAATCTTTATTCATGTCTTAGGCTATTATTGCATATGCTACAAGATAGAAGATAATAAAATAATTGTCTTACTTTAACGAATTGGTATTCATTTGCATCATAAAGTTTATCCATAAATTCCGAAGGGCTTTTGATTTTCATTAGCATCAGTTCAAGAAGAGTTTTCGTGCGGACGTGGTTACATACGCGTGTGAATGAATTTTGAGCGTACGATTCCCATGTACAGCTTTAGGAATATTCTTTTTAAAAAAAAGATTACTGTTAACACCGAAAATTGCGATTTACTTAAATATTTCTTTATTGCAGTCTTTTGAACATTGGTACATGATTTATAATAATTTCATATTAAGATTGATTACGTAATTTTTATATCTTATCATATATCATTTAGATTATTCTCATAAATCGTGAGAGCTTCGTAAAATATCATCGGCTCTTTCAAAAAATCAATTTGTCTCCAAAGGCTGATTATCTCTGGAACAGGCATTTCTATAAAAAGTTAATAGTTCATTTTAACAATTTAATAAGACGTGTATTAGTAATTCTTAATTTCCTATTGGTCAATTGAGAACTGTGTGACAAACTCTAGCGGATACACGGGAAAGAAAAACAAGAAAAAATTACTTGAGAAGCGTACATTAGCTTCTGTCAAATGAGCCACTGATAGTCGTTAAGTAACCGTAACATTACTCACAAACTCTAACCGGACTTTTAAAGTAATTTTTGTATTCTGTTTTCCCGTGTAATTATTAATCCCAGCGCAATAATAATACTTCAGAACTTCAACCTACATTAAATATATACATATGTATACATATGTATATATATATATATATATATATATATGCAAACTGACCTATCATTAATTTCATGTATTTTTTCGAGTTTTCTGCTCGATATTATCGAGTATCTATAAAAATAGAATTTAAAGTCCATAATACGTATGATTTTTAAAAAAGGCTCTTTCCTCTGCTCCTCGGAGCGTAGCCTAATTGTGAAAATCAGACGAAGAGCAGTAGCACGCAGCAAAGAAAACGGGCGAGCAGTTTTCACTAGCGCTCTCTCTCTCTCTCTCTCTCTCTCTCTCGAGTTTATTTCAAATAGATATACCAACAACCCCCATTACAATTCCCAATTGCGCCCTCAATCATATATTCCGTATAACCTATTCCATAAATTTCGATGCTCATTCGCTACAGTCGCCAGACAACGCACGCGCGACATACACAAGATACATATAACTCGGAAACTTTTTTATCGAAAAGTAATAATACGTGCATCGTATGGAGGGGGTGGGGGGAGAGATTATTTATTAATTATTATCGAACGGTGCATACCTTGACAGTGTAACTATCGACCATTTTAACAACACATCGCATACTCGGCGCTTTTTAAATATCTGACAAAAGCATGGAGACACCAAATCAATAATCCCATTGCTATAATCAAATTGTATTGCATTATCAACATTTCGATGCCATCGTTATTTTTATATACCTCGATACGCCAACGTCGGCAAGCGCACATTATGTAATGAAAACACTCAATAATATTCGAGTCAATCGAGTCATATTGATATGACAGCGGAATAAGAGGAGCAGAAAAATATTTTAAAAAACAATATACCTACAACGAAGATGTCAACGGAAGATAAAAACACTTCTAAACTTGAAGCTGATCGAATGCCATAAATACATTTAACAGTGCTGTTCGATCATATAAAACGTTTTATAGCAAAACAAGAAACGAGACTTGCGAGGAAGAATAAGAAAATTTTTACTCTTGAAAGCCTACTCAGCCTTTAAGCCTTAACACACGTAGTCGAGAGGCTCGTTTCGAAGGCACTCGAAGACGATGCTAGTAACGACGTAAAACTTGGGCGCTTTAGTGAGAGTAGTGCACTGTACGCCGCAGAGTGACACAGCGCAAACGGAGTACTCGGTAAATCCCCAACGAATATGACGAGCGCGCATTCGATGTCCGAAAGAGTGGATTGCGCTTCGCGCCACGTCGGGCAGAACGATCGACGTAGCCACGAGCCGCTCGTTTAGTCATCTTTCATAGACGAAGAAATCCAACAATTTTTCCATCGTCCCGTCATTAAAAACGTCGCGACGAGTAATCAACTCGTAATTGTGACAGTCAGGACACGGCTGAGGGCCAACGAGTTACGAGATTAGAGCGTGACCGTCACGTATTGCTCAACGTCATTTGGCATTGAGCGCACCCGGATGGCGAGTCTGAGAGAAAATCGGCCTCCACTCGAAACGCGATACCCAACACGTAAGGGTGCAAGATTCGTAGAGCACTCAGCGGGGGACGGATGCTTGGAGTCCCCAAGCTCATAAAAGAGGGAGGGTGGGAGAGAGTGGGAATGGACTGACACCACGCGGGGCCACGACTCGAGGGGTAGGGGCTGGCAGGGCACACGGGCAGGGAGAGATTTTAGAAAAAGAAGGGAGCCCCCAACTCGTCACTGCCACCGTTGCCGCTGCACCGGGGATCACCCAAGTTTAACCGCCCCGAGGCGGGAGGCTACTACTATACTAGCTCTGTTATCCACCCGCGCGCGCGCACGATTTCCCATTAGGATCAAACATGCGAGAAAGTAAGTTATCGAGGATCCTGCACGGGATACAGAGAGGCTAGAGCAGTGCAGCCTTTGGTCCCGGCGGCTCTTTCGGGTCTCGATCACGCGCGTTGTCTTCCAGACCGTATCCGACCGAATTTTGAGGTTAGGTGCGTATGTAAAGGAGCACGAGAGAGAGAGAGAGAGAGTGTGTATGTGATATGGGAGCGCGA